AGGTACAATCTCTGCTGATAGACGCCCACGCCTCGGAGGAAGCCGATCCACGGATTAGGCCCTGGAAGCCGTTTCCTTCACTTTTTTCCCCTTTTTTTAAATAATCATTATTGTTTGGTTTTCCTTTTGTTTTGGAAAACCAAACAATAAACAATACAACACATTACAAATACCAGGAATGTCGAGCAGTTTCATTCATATGGACTTCGCTATCTTCTTATTATTTCCATCGCTCTCTCTCTCTCTCTCTCACACTCTTATGAAACACCGGATCCGTTAGTGCTCTGGCGCACTGGACCGAACCAAATCATGAAATAAGGAGGGGGGGCATTAGACGCTGACTCGATTTCATTATTTGCTGCCAGAACAAAACGAAATTGACTCCTGTAACGCCCCCAACACGTACCTTATGAAACAAACATGCCTTTATTCTAATAGGTTAATAATATTTTTTAAAACTAAAAGTAATTGACGGTTTACTATTTTTCTAGCGCTCATGTTATCACTTTTCTCATCCTTATGACGCCTCTGTTTGTTAGTACGGAATGAAGCTTAGAAAACGGGACATAATTGTGCGATTTTATCACTATTTTTGCTATATACGTATATAAGACAGTGTTCTTATTTCTTGTCTTTTGTTTTTAATCTGTAATAATCTGTAAACTTTAATCCATTCGATTTTTTTGTCACCAAACAAAACCGCTTTCTACATGCATCAACACCACTTCTTCATCTCCCCCACCCCCTTTTTTGTTTTCTCAGCTCTGCTTTTCCCTGCACACACACTTTAGTCTGTCTAGGTTTAGCGTTGTGAGTAGTTTCAACTTTTAATCTGAATTGAATAAAAGTTTATCTGAATATAGGATCAGAGCCAATGCATTTAAGGAGCAGTTGATTACAAAGGCCTCATTTTCAAGCAGTACTTTTAAAATTAAATATTACAGTTTATCTTTTAGTTTTAGTTTCTTGCATATGAATAATTTTGTGTGAAAAAAATTGGGCCTAAGTAAGTGGCTGGAGAGATTTGAAGGTGAAGTATTGAAATGTGTCCCTGATGGGTACAGATATTGATACTGCTGTGATATGTTAACTGTGAAACATAAAATCTTTTACTAAAAGTGCTGCAACATTGTTCTGCAGTCCAATGTAAACATTTTGTACATTCTCCAGAGCCGTGGGTTGTGCCAGGAAGTTGGGGGTGGGGAGGTTTAGGGTGTAAGAGATAAAATGTACATTGCATTCCTTCTTGTCATGATCTAATGCGCTCTATAAAGTCTGTGAACTAGCAAACCCAGCTGCACACAGCACAAGAATAAACAGTATAAACTGAAACTGATTGGTCCGCACAGCCAAGAAATCATATCAGATCAAAAATAACTTTTTCATCCACAAAATGGGTGGAGGTGTTAGAACGGAAGAAAAAAGGATTGAACCAAAAGTGTCATATTAGCTGTACTGTTTATATTTGGTTTTTAAACTGTAAATATTTTTCTATCAAACTCAGCTTAAGTCTGAGAAAAAGTACTCTCCTCTCCCTCCGTTCTTAAAGTGCAAAAGTCTTTAAGTATTTTGTCAGAAAATTTTTTATTCTTTTTCCAGTGACATTATGTTCAGTTGAGGTGTTGCTGCCCATCTTAAATTGGGGTTTAGACAACTTGCCCCATTCACCCATTTACGCCCATTCATACAACCACTTTTTCTGTGCTCTTTACTTTAGACTTTCTGAATGCAGGATATTTTATTAAAGCTATTTAGCAGGAGCAAAGCAAAGGATGACTTAAATAATAATAATTAATGTGTCCTGTTTGAGTCCCACTGCTTACTTCACATCTCCCTCAGCAGCCTTTTCCAGCATTACTATCAACAAAAGGTGAGTTTGAACTTTTAATCTGAATTTAATATCAGTGTCTCTGATTTTATATGCATTAAAGTTGGTCACAAATGTCAAATCTGTAAAGCAGCACTGTCTGGTTAAATATTTCAATTTATCCTAACAAACTTGAAGCATTTTATTATAGTTTTTTTTAGTAGACAGACAAAGTAATTTTAAGCCTCAGTTTTGTACTATATAATGGCCGTTAAGCAAACGACAGGAGCTAGAAAGGTGGCTATCATCATCCATTTTGTGAGGGAACGTGCTCAGATATATATATATATAGTTAGCGCTTTATTATTTATCTTTTCCTTCCACTCTGTGACATTGAGCAGTACAGAATGTGAAATATTTATGTTCACTTTCATTGCAATAAACGACTGTTTTCAGAGGTATAACATTTAAAATACGTAACGTCGGTACATGTATTCCGTTACTCCCCAACACTGGTAATAAAGAAAACCAGAAACAATTTGGTGAATGCATTTAGGTTTTGGGAAGTTTTGCATTAGGGAGATTTGTGTATGAAAACCTGTAAATGGAAAGATGGCAGGATTTAATCTTTAGTTCAGTTTCATTTCCTTTTTATCAGAAACTGAAAGTGAGTCTTATTGTCGTACTCTTTCATTAAGAACATGACACTTTTTGCCTCCCGCAGGCTTCCTGACCTTGCTTTACGTGTGACTTTCCATAGCAGTTATTTTTCTGTTATCTGGACAAGGCTATTTTATTACATATTTTATGTGTTTAATCGTCACAGAATTAAATATAAGCATCTTTTGACTATGCCTATCTATCTAAACAGCTCTGGAAGAAGGATAGTCATGCATCAACACCACTTCTTCATCTCCCCCAGCCCCTTTTTGTTTTCTCAGCTCTGCTTTTCCCTGCACACCCACTTTACTCTGTCTAGGTTTAGCGTTGTGTTATATGTAGAGATCTGCTTTCACGTGCCTTTTGCCAAACAGTCAACTACACCTTTTGCAAAACCGAGTCTCAGTTTTGTTTTTGGACTTTTACTTTTTGCTAGATTTTTCTTTTCACCCTGTTCCAGTGTGTGCCTCCCTGCATTTTGTTGTTGTTGTTTTTTTACTTCTCTTATTGTCAGAAGAAGAAGGAAGAAGGATAGTCAGATCCTGTTGTTCTGCTTTGTCAACAATGTGTGTTTCTGATGAAATAGTACATGAGAATAATCTGAATAAGTTGAAACAGCACCTCTGTTTGTCACCAAACTCATTGTTGCTGTTGTAAGTGATGTAACTTTTTCTTCTTTGTTATTTTTATTTAATTTATTATTATTCATTTTTGCAAAGTTTTTTTTGTTTTTCTTTCTTTACTTGACCCCTTTAACTCATTTGAACTTTGACATACAGACAACAATGAACCAAGACAGTTTCTACATTTGACAAACATCCAGCCACTCTCGTCAGCCCTTCCTGCTTTTCTCATTCCCTGATCGGCAGATCAGGTTTTACTTTGTTTCTGACCATAGCTGGACTGGCCATTGGGCATACCGGGCATTTGCCCAGTAGGCGGTGATTTTTCGTTTTTTGATGGGCAGATGGTTTTTTTGTTTGTTTGTTTTGTTTTGTTCTGTAACGGTATAAACAATGAAAGTTCATGGATTGGCCAAAGTGTCATGATAAACTCTGGGCTGGACCAATTACAGCCGAGGAGGTTGGATGCACCCTCGATCAATGATCAGCTGATCGTCTTTTCTGTCCCGTCTCTCGTGCTTGCCCACTTTGCGCCAGAAAGAGGAAACCAGCGGATGTCGAGTTAAACAATAGCAGCACGTTTAAGCTTGATCAGCTGTTGTTAGAATTTATTTAATATTAATTTCTAGTATCAGCTGATGTTGGCTGGAGCAACAGCTGTAAAGCTGCTGGTCATGATATCAGTTTGGATATGTGGTGAGAGGGAAACATGAAGATGAAACCAGGAAATGTCCTTACTGAATCATCAGAGCTGAACAGGTGATGGAGAAACAGGTTTACCTTTTAGGTGACATGAATGAGTTGAAGGGAAGTTATGAACTGTTTCTGAGAGATAAATAACACCAGGATGCTTTGTAGCTGACAGCTGGTAACTGTGCAGGGGCGGATCTAGCTAAGTTTTGCCAGGGGGCCAGGTAGGGCATTAACAGGGAAATTCTCATTTAAAATGTCTGGTTTTTAATAAATAATTATCTGAATCTTACAAACAAAGTTTTCATCTGATGTAAAATGTATAAAAATCCATTATTGTATCTAGTAAATATTAAGTCTAATATATACTCTAAGCTATGGTAGTTTTTCCTTTCTGAAGGTATCATCTGTGCAGTCTACAATTATGTTGAAGAAATTATTATTTCATTATTGTAGTGTGTTAATAATTGATTTCTGTGCATTTGTCTTTACATGTGCATTAAATTAAAGACGATTATGTCAATTAAGCATCACGAGGCGGAGGGTGGGGGGTGGTTCCCTATTTTTGTTTTTTTTTGGGGGGGGGGGGGGGTAGGATTTGTCAACCCTATTAGTTAGGTTGTTTAATATTTCCGTTAAGTACTGTTTTGAATACCAGAATAGGGAGGAAGGGAGGATGGTGTAGGTTTAAGTTTATTAGATTGATACATATATACCAACAAGACAGTGTACATCACTGTGACAACAGTGTTTGTTTTCATTCAAAGGCTTTGTGGTTTTTCCTATATAACCTGGTGGGCCGGTCTCTAGTCAAAATGCCCGGGCGGATTTTTTGTCCCAGTCCATGCCTGGCTGGACCCAGAGTGAAATTAATTTGTTATTTCTTATCTTTCATCTGAAAAGTGTCACTTAACGTTAATACATACAGGTGACTTTGTTTTAGAACTTTTATGGTGCGCTAATTACATTAAATTTCAACATATCATTTTGTGGCAGGTTGTGGTTTAGCATCAGGTGAGGGGTAGAGCGAGTTCAGGTGACAGTGGCAGGGGAGGCTGGGAGAAAGAGCTGATGCCTGCCACGGTGTGAAACGAGTGGCTTCGAGTTGTGAACTAAATAAAAACTATTAGTGAAACGTGACGCAGAACTGTCTCCTTGTGTGTGTCATAACAGAGATCAGTAACAGAGTGATACAGTGGTGCCCAGCTTGCCGCTACGACATGTCAAACCCACAGAATCTACAGCCAGCTCAGGCACTGGCTCACATGTTGGCCGACATGGCAGACTTGCAGCAGCAGCAGGCAGTACTGCACCAGCGGCAGACGCAGATGCTACTAAACCTTTTGCCTCAGTCTGGGGCCGCTGCGAATCCGCTCCACCTGGAACTCTCTCCAGAAGACCATCGTCGCCGCTTCCGTGGTTGCCGCATGGGACCACAAGAAGGGCCTTCGGCTTTTGCCCAGCAGCTCCTGTACGACGCGGGGAGGTGGCTGCATCCTGGCCCGACACAAGGGGAGGTGCAGCTGCTGGAGGCTGTCGTTCTGGAGCAGTTTGTGGAGGGGCTCCCAAGGGAAATGGCGGACTGGGTCAAGTGTCGCAAGCCACCCAATCTGGAGGCGGCAGTGAGGCTGGCTGAAGAACACCTGGCGGCGCAGACGGAAAACCCCAGAAGATCGCAGCCAGGGGAGGTGAGCATCTGCAAAAGAGTGATTTTTGATGTTTTGGTTTTTTAAGTCTAATATCTTTACTTATGTTAGTAAATACACTTTAGTCAACAGGGTTTATGAAAGGGTTGTATATAAAATAAAGAAATGATCTGTCTTCCAAGTATCTTTATGACTTTATGCATATTTGTACCCATATTGTCATCAATCCAGTTCTTTTTGATTATAGAACTGTGATGTTATATTTGTTATTTCTGATGCCCCCTTGGCTAGCTCTCTCTTGAAAAAAACATTGTTATTGTCAGTTACGTTTTACCCTGATTTGATAGAAATGTTCTCTAAGTTACTTGATATTCGTCATGAGCGATATTTTTTGACAGATTTTAAGTCAACAAGTAATTTATAACAGCTTAAATTCCTGCAGTAAATTTTTTGGCAAATGCTGGAAACACCTTTTTGGCAGATGATCACTTTTTGGTACCCTACTGGCCCCAAGGAGCAAACTTTCCGTGCCTGTGCCAGTGACACTGACCATCGAGGACCACTGGCTACGCTCCAACAACCATTTCCTCTCTGCTTTCTATCCCCAGGTCCTGGCAGCGACAGGCGCTGTACCTGGCTCATTGGTGGCTGCACAGACACAGGGACAGGTGCGTGAGCAGTGTGGGGACCTGGGACATTTTCAACAGGAATGCCAGGAGGACGCCATGGAGGTGCAGCAGGTGTACAATGTTACTGGGATGTCTACACCCAACTTTGGTCGAGGAGGGCTGTACAGCGTTCTGGTAAGGTGCCAAGGGATTGTATTAGATTCTTAAAGAATGTGTGTTGTTGTTCAGCCTGGTTCTATGTGCCTGTTTTTAACTTTGAGCACCCGCCCCTTTAAACAGCTCTGCATGGCCCTGGTGGTGGGCGGATCAAACCAAAATATAGATGCCAAAGTTTGTTTTGATATTGATAAATAGGAGCATAATGAGACTGATATTAGTTTCTGTCTTGATACATGCTCAATCATCCAGGTAAGTAAATCCCAAGTTTTCCCAACTATGTAAAGTGCAAATGTTTATAAGGTTGGGGAAACCTGCAGTTAGCTGAGACTGAAGAAGTCACTTGGATGAGCGATGAAACGTTTCTCTCACTGAAAACAGTCCAGATGAACAGAATTAACTTTTTGGGATACTGGTTTCTGTTTCTTTGTTACTCCTAGAATCATCAAAGAGGCAACCTGGCCGTCTATCTAAGTGCTGCTGCTTTCAAGTGTCATAATAACATTTATTGTGATTGAAACAAATATCCCGAATATATCATAACCCCTTTGTGTTAACTGTAAAAGGGATACTATGCAGTTACTATATTTAAACTACAAGTAGATGTGATACAGACTTCTCATTATATGTTTTCTGTCCTTGGTTTTAATTAATAATCCAAAGAAAAGAAAATCCCCCAAACACTTACAGGTCATGAAAATTCATTCTGATTTAGCAGTTTGATCCACCATCCACCATAATTATTAAAAACCACTAAACAACTGATGTAGTTGCCTGATGTTGGAATACACATTTTACCCTAACAGCTGGTGGTTGCCAGGGATGGGGTGGTCACCAACTGGTCTCTAGGTCTGTGTCACTGGTGCTGAATTAGGCAGAAACATTGACTCATGGGATCATGTTTACTGAGAGGCAAGAATGCAAAAGTTTTCCTTTTTTTTTAATCACTGTGCTAGCTGAGAATATATGTACATATAAGTGTGTACATTTTAAAAAGTGCATGTGTTTGTTAAAGAACAAATTGTTTCTGTACAGGAGCAATGATTTCTTCTATAAATTCAATTATGCATACATGTACAATTTATAATAATTTAACTTCATGTGAAAGTTGAATATTTATATGCTTCCACAGGATTTGCCATCCATAAGTGAAAAAGGTGAGAAAAATGTATCTCACTCTCATTTTAATACATCTAATTTATTTATTTATTTTCACAGTATTATTTTTGCAACATCTAAAATACACCATAATCAGAAGTTTCAATATTCAGATTTTCTTTTTAAATTGTATTATTTTGTTTAAATCCAAAAAGGAAAAAGAAAGTCAGAACTTGAGTTCGACGAATGTCAACCATCTCCTAAACGACAAGACAACTGTGCAGCAGGATCACAGTCAGGTACACACATATATGAAATCCTCACACTTATTCCTGCTTTGTGTCACCATTTTTAACTGAGTAGTCAAAATCAGTCAAATCCACAGTAATCTGTCATCCAAGGTCAAGGAAAAACAATATTTCAGAATCTCCTCTTGTTGGGTTCAGTTAGGATCGTAAGGAGACTGGCAGTGGTAACTCAACTTAAAGAGGGAAAAACCTTCCACTCAGAATGAGACACTGACAACAACTTAAGGAAAAAAGTGACTTGAGTGTATTCAACATTTAAATGGTCCAAAACATAGACATGAACAAACCTTTAAATAATTTCAAACATGTAATCTTCAACAATGTACAACATATCACTTCAAGTGTCCATAAATGTGTCAGGCATGCTGTCCATTTCAGTTCAGTGCACTTTGTATTCAGTATGTGGTAAGCGTTCAAGTTATTTGAATTGTCTTTAGTCACTGTTTTGCTTTTTGGTGCATCAGGTTTTGTGTTAAGTGGAATCAGATCTGACCCAAAAAGGAAAAAAGTAGCAACATAAGGTGTCCTGAGAGCTCATTAAAAAACGTTAATCCTTAAACAAAATTACAAATCGTTGTATCCTACCACCCTCCAAGGAAACAGGTGGCCTTCAGATTGAGAACGTCCTTTCTAGGCACCTCTAGTGGCATCCAGTCCTTAGATGGCACCGCTCGGTCCTTGCAGCAGATTTCTACTACTTAAAAAAAACAGCCAGGATATTCTTCAAAGAAAACATTAATTCTGTAGCGCAACACGTTGCAGGACTGAATCTCCACACAGCTTTGCGCATCTAGCTCCATGCAGGCGGATGCAGTGAAAGAAAGTCACCACGCACAGCGCTATGGTGCATTCATGGGAAAATGGGAAAACTCAACACTTAACAAAACAGTAACACTTAAAATTAGAATAAAAATAGAATACAATTGGCAATAAAATAACCATGGGTTACATTTGCATATCAGTGGACCATATTTGCATTACACTGGTTCCAGGTTCCTACTTATTAGGGTTTTTTTCTGTTTCTCTGACAGAAACAAAAATACTGTCTGATGTCAAAGACATAATGAGACGTGTCAGTGAAAGACTACATGGCCGTGACAAGCTCAGCGCTTTCCTAAAGTGAGTAATAAAGATTTTCTATTTTTGTTGGATGTTCTTCCAACCATTTCCCAGGAAGTTGGGACAGTCTGTAACATTTTGCTGGTATTTGGTATAATAAACATACTAAAGATTTAAACTCGGTCAGAGCTCAACATGGAGCTGTGTAGTTTGTTCCAGTAGTAAGTTGAATTTTTTCAACACATTTTAAAAAACTATTTTTTTCTGATTTTACTGCATTTTCAGTTTGATATTTCTGAGAATGGGTCAGTTAATCCATATTTAAACTCGTTCAACAGGGATCAAATCAAAGATTTGGAGACAGAAAGGAGACACCTGGTTGGTGTCTTTGGTAAAACTGGGGCTGGAAAGAGCGCTTTAATCAATGCCATCATAAATAAGGAGGGCCTGTTGCCTTCTGCAAGTGTCAGTGCATGTACCTCAGTAATGATAAAGGTGGAGGCTACCAATGGATCAAAGTATGAGGCACACATCGAGTTCATTACAAAAAAGGTAGAATGAAATATGAATATGGTGATTCTTGAAGTAATGTGTTACAATGTAGATACAAAAACTGCTTTACTAAAATTAAGATATAATCTTTTGTAGGATTGGGAAAATGAGGTGCAGTCCCTAAAACTGGCTCTTGAAGAAGATGATGATGATGATGATGGTGGTAATGGTGATTGTCTTGACCCTGATGGAAAGTTATCAGCGCTGTATGGAGAAGAGTGGAAAGAAAAATCAACTCACAGCCTCATGGACAACAAATATTTCAGAGATATTCCAGAGTTTCAAATGTCCAAGATAAAAATTTTGGAAAGTGACTCAGTAAGTGTGCAGTAATACAGACCAAAATAAAATCTGGTTCTTCTTCTAGAACAAAGGAATACTTGCAGTTTAAAGCATATATTAGACCACAGTTTGGGTGAGATACATAGCAGTGTGTGGCTTATGAACATCACATAATGAGCAGTCAATAGTTACCCAAGCAGCGTTAAGCTACCCTGATGCTGCACCTTTGCAGCAGGAAGATGTCCACGCTATCTAATGCCACCCTAATGGAGAGTGCAGACAGAGACAAAGCACTGGTGAAGCAGATGTTGCTGCAGTTTATTGCTGAGCAGATATATGTCGGCGATATGTCGATGTGCCTCATTTCCAAAATGTTTGACATCCATCAAACAAGAAACAAAAAAACAAGTGAAATTGTGGTGGTTAAAATTTTATGGTTTACTATCCTGTTGCTGTCTGATTATCCTGTTACCATGGAGCTTGCAGTTTTCTTTGTGGAGGTGTTGAAGAGTTTCACATTTGTAAAGCTGATCTTCGATGCATCCATCAGAGAATGAATGTGTGTAAATGTTAGCTAGAAATAACATACCCAGAAAAAGTGCTTGGGGTAATGAGGCAAGTTTTATAAAGTGCTTCAAATGTTTACATGCAGTAGAAGAAATCACTATATAAGAACCAGGCCACTTACTGTGATCCACAGTAAAATATAAAAAAGGTTTATTTTCTTTCTTTCTTTCTTTCTTTCTTTCTTTCTTTCTTTCTTTCTTTCTTTCTTTCTTTCTTTTTTAAATAAAAAAATCGAATTACTTTGGATTTATTTTCCTGGTTTTCATTTCAGATTTTTGAGATAGGATGTCTTATTTTAATTTCCCATCTTCTTTTTCATGCAATCATTAAAATCTTTGTTATGGGCACACACATTCAATTGGCTTATATTTATCTTGTTGTTGTTGTTTTTTGCAGGCTGAAGGATTGTCTGAAAAATTTGTGAGATATACAAGAAGTGAGTCAAATGAGACAGAAGAAGTAAAGAGGTGGTACTGGCCACTTGTGAAGTGTGTGACTGTCAAAGTGCCAGACAATGATTTTCTTGATCATGTCACACTCATGGACCTTCCTGGAAACGGTGACTCTAACAGAAGCAGAGATCAAATGTGGAAAGAGGTAATTCACAGAAGTCATGTCATGTTTCTTCAAAGCATTAGTTATTTATAATTTACATGCATTCATTTCCTTTTCAGTTTATTGCCAGTTGTTCTACAGTGTGGATTGTGACTGAAATGACTCGAGCAGCATCAGAAAGCGAAGCCTGGGACATCCTGGAAGGTGCCAGCAGCCTGCTGGGAAATGGTGGCGAGTGTCAGCAAATTCATTTTATCTGCACCAAGTCAGATCATGAAAAACCAGATGATATGTAAGTCAAATATACAAAAAAATCAAATTACAAAGAAAGTTTGGCACAGATAGTTACAGATACACATGGTGACCATACACTTCACTTTTTTGTTGCTTTGTTGTTTAAAAGTCATTATTAAAAGTTATACATTTAAAAAAAATCTATGTATATGTGTTTTAATAAGTTTCTAAATAGATAAATGCTGTTGTAGAAATTTAATTAACAAAGTCCACAGACACATTCATTCGGCTGTAATGAACATTTGTTATTATCATGCGCATGAGAGAGAGCACACACAGTCAGGCGCCGTCATGCAGTCTCTGAAACAGAAGTGCAGCTCTCACCTTTATTTATTCCCCAAAAAAGTGAGGAAGTCCGAAAGTGATCATACAGCACATGACGCAGCTCGCTCTGAAACCTAACTGAACAATGCGTATCCTGTTTCATGCTCTTGGCATTATGACCACCTGCAAAAGGAGTTATTTTTTCAACTACTGAGGCTGAAATAAGTTCATCTAGTTTTAGACTGCTCAGTGGAAGTTTTCATTACAGTGCCACAACTAAGTATGCACACAAATGCTTGAACCTTAAATAAGAATAATTGAAATTTTCCATTACAATACTAACAATAAATTACTTTTACATCCAATTTTTATTTCCTTTCTAAAAGAAACAAAGTCAAGAAAGCAGTGATGAATGCATTCAAAAAGCGGGAAACGATTACGGTAAATTTACAATCTGACAGCAAAATCTAAAACAATTATTTTCTTAAACGGTCCAAAAATAAAAACTGACTAACAAAAATGTTCTCAGAATCACTTCAGTGAGGATAGTTTCCAAGTCTTCACAGTGAGCTCCAAAGAGTTCCTCAAAGGGGAGAATGTAAATCCAGATGTCAATGGTAGGTGAAGTCACTACCAGTGATGGTATGTTTTTGTGTAACAGAAAATGTATTGCTCAGATTTATATTTCTTTTTCAATTTCTAACAGAAATACTGAAACTCAAGGAAATTTTGAAAAATCTAAATGACGCTTGTTCAGAGACTTCAAACTATGTGTCTGGAGCTCATGGGATTCTGTCTTTGATTCAAGGAGCCAGAAGCAGAGAAGTGGTAAGATCAGGCAATAAAGCCTCATTTATAATCTTCTTAAAGGTCAAAAGAAAATGCATAAAATAAAAATGTTCATAAAATGTTCACTAAAGTTTACTAACATATTGTAAGGCATGCTGACCTTCACTGAAAATGTGGGATACTGGACATCATAAATCTATATGTGGTAATTTATTATTAGTGATTGAAAGAGGAGAGAGATTATTTGGAAGAACTGAATATTATTTATTGAGATACAGAATTTAATTAAATAGTTATTTACCAATGAGACTCCAGTGAACCAATGAGAGCACAGAAATGATGGGAGTTAGGACAGGACCCCGAGAGTCTAGATTGTTGGGGTAGTGAAGATGGTAGTTTGGATGGGGCTCTGAGTAGGGGTGGGTTTTGATTATCGATTTATCGATTAAAATTGATTCTCGCTTGGATAACGTGATATCGATTCATTAAAATCCTGAATCGATTTTTTAATATAAATTTATTTTGCCCGAAATGCCAGAATCTCAGGTTAAACCTCACAAAATTTCAACAACCACCAAACAGCTAAAACAGTAAATGAGAGCAGGAACACGGATTCTACACAAAGACGTAAACACAAAGCGCGGAGCCTCCGACGGATCAGAATCAGTGAGATGTCGCCTTTCTCACCCGACGGCCCGGACACAGTCGGGGCTGAAAGCCGACAGCTCGCTGATTCTGATCCGTCGGCGGGTCCGCGCTTTGTGTTTACGCCCTTTTTGTCCTGATTCTGAAGCTGCAGCTTTTATCTCTCTCCAAACAATATTGACCGAACCAGCAGCAAAAGAAGCAGCAAACTACACTTCACATAAACATCGTCATGAATTCCCTCTTATTGTTTTGCTGCCACCTCGATAAAATCACACTACATGCACAGCTCTCTCTCTCTCTCTCTCTCTCTCTCTCTCTGTACTTCAAGATCAGTTTCCCGTCTAAAAATCTTTTTTCTGCATTATTCGCTTGCTTGTTACACACAAATCTACCGTTGTTTACAGCGCTGTCGGCTGCTGTTTTTTCCTTTTACTAACTTCTGGAAAGAAAGCCTCATTTCTGCCGTTCAATACTGAACAAATTTAAACTTTTTAAAATTATGCAAAATTGCAAAATGCTCAGCTGTGTCTCTAATAAATCTCTGCTTTATGTCAGCAGCATCACGTAATGTTCATATGGTTATTAATGGTTTTGTTTCGTTTTTGATCTACTGCAGAATATTTTTATAAGATCCAGGGCCAGGAAAATCACCTTCATGTTTTTCTGTGTTTTATCCTCAACTACTTTGACACAAAGGCATCTGCTGTGACGCTCACACCTTTGATTATGTCTCACAAGTGTCACATTTCTTTTTATAGATACAAAAATATAGAAATGTACTGATGCATGATCTGAATTATGTCTGAGGCAAAATTTCCCGATTCAAATTGAATCAAATCGAATTGAATCGAATTGTGGATTGAATCGATTCGGGACCTTGTGAATCGGAATCGAATCGATTCTAGAAATGAGTGACGATACCCAGCCCTAGCTCTGAGTGAAGAGTGAGGTGAAGATGAGGAGGAGGCAAGTTGCATGGATGAGAGTCTGTAAGGCAGAATGACAGAGAGCATATAAAAGCACAGAAAACAGAGACTGATTGGCCTGCAGAAGGCAAAAAAATGATTGGACTAGAGTAATGAGGTCAATAGTGTGGGAAAATGGAAGTGACATAACGAATACACAGAGGCAGACAAATGATGACAGACCTATCTGACTGAACTTATGCATGAGATTCATGTTAAAAACTTGGGTTTGTCAAGACCGCCTCAAAAGTGAGTCGAGAGCCATTATGTGATGTTTTACTGCTTTAAATAATGATCTTTCTTGTATTTCAGGTTGAACAAAAAAACGATGTGTGTGCAGTCCTTGAGGGAAACTTGAGCATCCAACTTAATCGAGTCAAAAAAGCAATTGAAGACATTACAAAAGCTTTTGAACAACACCTACGGGACGGAGTTGAAAGATCCCAAAATTTGTGTGAAAGAAAACTGAGGTCCTTCTTATACCCCAGTGTATGTGTTTTAATTACAACTGGAACAAGACCTAAGGATACTTTGTGACCATGTGTTTAAAAAAAAAATAAAAAATTCTGTTTTGTTTCAGAAAAAAAACAACAAGGGTTTTCACGGGACACTAAAGTCTGCAGTTAAGAATGTTGGCATCCAGAAACCAAAAAAAGGGAAGCGAAAAGACCTCAACATGATATTAGCGTCTTGTTTGACTGAAAGCATTGATGAAAAATTCAGAAAGACCTTCCCGTGAGAATAATCTAATTCTGAACAGCATCAATATGTACAACAATACATGTATCCAAATTGCACTATATCATAAACTTGCTAATACTGCTATTATAAACCACATCTTTGCCCCATTCAGAAACGACCTAAAATGTGGAAATTTCAATGGGGCCATTGATGCGTTTTCACTCAGCACTGATTCACTGATTGAAAAGTACAAAAATGTCGAACTGCAACTGACATTTCTCCAGACCGAGGTAAAAGAACTTCCCTATCCATGAACCTGTTAGCTTAGCTATTATTAGAAAGTCATTCAAACACTGAACTTGTGTTATTTTACCTTAATGCTGTTTTAAATAATGTTAATCTGTATTTCATGTTTCTAAGGAAAACAAAATGAAGACAAAGCTCAACAAAATCATCCTCACACAAAAGAAATTGATCTACAACAGTCTGACAGAGACAATCAGGAGTAACATGAAAGGATGCTACAAAGGTAAGAAAGAGGTGAATTACCTTATTTTTTGCACTATAAGGCACACTTAAAATCCTTTAATTTCTCAAAAATCCGGTGCGCCTTATGTATGAATTCTGGTTGTGCTTACTGGCCTCCAACCGTTTCATGTGGTACACGGCATTCAAAAATCTGTCAAAAAATGTTTTAGTACGACTTTGGTAAGCTGCGAAGCCGCACCGCTTGATGGATTGTCTGAACATTGCGGCTACCGCAGTCAGGAGCCTCACAGAGTAATCTGGGCCCAAACGCCGCTTCAGGTTCCAAAGTCAAACAGTGCAGCATCACTGAGAATTAAAAGCTGTCTGAATTCTTTCATCTTTAATAAAATGGTCACTGTCGCTGCTTTTCCAGATGTAACAATTAAGTTTAACATCCAGACATCCATGAAAACAAAATTTATTAAATTTAACTGGGTTAGAAGCTAGCAGGACGTTAGCTCACTAGTTTCCACCTAAATATGATATACCATGTTCTGACTGAGAGATTTCTCAAAAAATTAAAACGTACAGCTCTGCTATCACTTCAGACATAAATGAAGAGAGAAAACTAAACAGCAGTGACTTTTGTAAGGTTACTGAATGTTGAGAAGTGTTAGGTGAGGGCTAGTACATTTAGGTTTAGCAGCTAACCAGATGGTGTATCGGTCAGGATACAGGAAGGAGGACAAGATGCTTCCACTTTGCTGGATTGTCACCGCCGGCCGTTTTATTGCCACCTAGATGCTCAGTGTTGCCAGCAGTCTGTAGTAACAAATAAATTGCCATGAGACTGAATATATTACAGCAGCAGCTAAACTAATATAAACTCAAAAATATCCAATGAAATAAACCAACACATCCACATCTAATGGAAGACAACACACTGTTTAGTAGACCATTTTACACTTTTATTACTTCCAGAAGGGAGATGCGTCCTACATGACACTGCAGTGAATCTCCAAATGGCAGTGTGTGCTTAACAGTTTTATTACAGTCTGTCTCACTCTAGTCTAAACCACAGTATTCTAGTACATTTCCACTGAGAGATGATTCCCTGTTATCTACTTCTACAGACAAGTGTGGGCGAGAGTCTCCAACATTCTACCACTAAAGGACACGTAGTCTAATGCCTTTATTATCAGGGTCGTGTCCACTTATTACTACACTATACAGTTATATGACATTTTGGTTAATATAAAGCATAGCATTGAGGCGCTTCAGGTAATTTTCATTTTCACATTTCACATACGGAAGTGGAGGAAGCAAGAAGAATGAGTTGAGTAAAGTTTGATTTATCTTACTGTTTTGTTTTGCTTAATGCGCCTTATGATCCGATGCGTCTTATGGTTAGAAAAATTCGGTATTTCTATTCAACTGTGCATGAAAATGATTGTCTCCTTGTAGAAGCAGCAGCATTTGAAGGACCAGGCACCCAGAAGAGGATGAGGGACACTATTGAGAGACATGTGGAGTCAAAGATGGACATGTTTGAAAAGGCAAAAAATGCCATGTTGGAGCAGTTGAACGATTTGAAGGTTTTTTTTTTCCAAGCAGTCTTGAAACATATCAAACCAATAATTTATCTCTTGTCCAGTTATTCTTGGATTCAATAGTTGCCTATTTAAAAAGTGACAAAGGTTTTGATGATAAATTAGGAAACTGTCCTGAGGACACTGGAGGAAACCATGGAGGAGTCCATTGAACACTCACTCAAGACTGAGGCCTGCTCACTGCCAGGTAAACAGAATATATAAAGTATTAGGAATCCTCTCAATACAAACACTAACAATAAATATTTAATAAAAACAAATACTTTGTTTTTAGATGTTTTGGAAGATCTTGAGATGGTGAAGAAACACTGTGATGAACTTAATGGCGATCAAGATGAAAAAAAGTAACCACACCGGGTAAATCTTAAAATGTCACAAATTGTTTAAAAGGCTGTGATCATGAACTATTTTTCTGATCATTTTGAACAATGTTTTTAGTGCTGTTAGCATTAATCATGTTAATACACGTCATCAAAGTTAACACGATAAACATTTTTAATGCACTCAACCCATCTGTAGTGCAGAATAGACAAATTTCGGACAAACTGCTTGAAATGCATTGATAGAAACATTCAGAGGATTTTGAGTCAGAGTGTTCTCCAGATGAGTTAATTATTAATCGTGTTAGTCGTGATGACGGCGTTAGCGTGAACTTCTAACCCCTCACAGGGACTAATCTTCGTTAACTCGTTAACGGGGATTTGCCAGTTTTGACGTGTTAACATGGATCGGTTCACGTTAACGAGATTAACGGTGACAGCACTGGTTTTTATTTAAATTTAACTGATCCATCCAGCACCCATTTTTCATTTGCTCCACAGAAACAGCTGAGGCCTGATAACCCACAGGACATCCCTGAGGAAACACTGATTAGAGACACGAGGTCTTTACATATTATCACAGTAATATTTGTTTTGCTCTCTTTTAATGTTGTGTTTATGTGTACTTTTGACTTTTTAATGAATTTTATACAAAAAGCATCTTGAATATTATAGATATCAATTAAAACTGCTAATATTAAGGTGTTAATCACGAGTGTCTAAATCATGTTTTGATTTCTTTCTTTTTAAAAATTTGTTGTAGTTTTTAATCCCTTATAGCAGAGCGTGAAGACATGTAATGCATTCTCCATTCAAACCTGAGATTTATGGTTTTAATTGTAAGAGTCTGAGATTACAATTTCCAAAAGCATTTTGATTTTTTTGCTTGTTTTAAATATCATAATTTAATGTTTTAAGTTGACGTGTATACTGTTGGTTCATTGGGACGGGAACATTTATTTTAATGTAAGTGCTTATCAGTTAAACATTGAGCCTCATCCAGCACTGAAAAGGTACCAATTTTACATCACAGTTCTAATGACAAATACTTGTTTGTTGCAGTTATACAATATGTGTACATGACAAATAGTGAGAAATGGCTCTAAGTAAAGCTGCAGGAAATCATCAGCTACTTCTGTCATCTCCCTGCCATTTTGCTTTTTCTGGGTTTGGAATTATTGGTGAATATATTACAGTTTGAGTTTAGGTTCAGGTTGTTTCTTTGTTATTTTTTGTTACGTTAAATGTTTAAAATTTAATTACTTCTGTGCATATTGTTAAATTCCTGTTTTGATTTTTGTCTTCAGTAATTCTCTCGTGTTTCTTCCACCCACCATACTTTATTTCTTCATGAAACAGTTCATTCACGTTTAGCATTTACTGTCATGTTTCCTGTAACCTTGGTAATGTCATTACAAAAAGGTACTAAGGTGCTTCCTTTATTACACTGGTGAAACAAAGATATTTACATCTCATAATTTTAAGTGACCATACAGTTGTTGAAGAAAAAGATGAACCAAACTGAGATTGTTGCATAGAGCATTTAAATGTTAATTAATCCAGCACACTGTGATGCAGCTAGTAAATCATTTAGCTTTCTTGCTTCCTTATCTGTACTGATTCTAAAAGAATGCATGCATTTGATATTGTATACCGTTCAATAAATCTTACGTGCAAGCAAATATTTATTGTAATCATTAGATAGGAAATTTGTTTTTAACCCAGATCTTTTTACCCTAAAATCACCAAAAAATTGATTGCATTGCGTGACAAACATACAGTGGTGTGAAAAAGTGTTTACTCCTTTCCTGATTTCCTATTTTCTTGTTTGTCATACTTCAGTGTTTCAGAACAGCAAACAAATTTACAAATCAAACAAAAATAATACTAGTAAAGACAAAATGGAGTTTCTAAATGAAGGTCCCAAAAGGTTGATTCTGTTCATCTGGACGTAGCGTCAGAGGGAGAAACATCCTTATCCAAGTGACTTCTTCAGTCTCAGCTGACTGCAGGTTTCTCCAACCTTATAAACAGCACATTGCACAAGGACTGAAACTAGCCCACTGAATAAACAATGGACTGCGAGGTCAGTTTCTTGATCATTAATATGCAAATTGTCATGACCATTGATTAGTTGCCTTGAGTACCAATCACAGACTTTGGGAATGTCTACAATCACAGCATTGTAAGATGGCGAAAGATGTACCCTTATTCCCCCTCCTCGATTCAGAGATGATCTTTGCCTTTTCACGTAAATGCCCTCCTCGACTCCCCATTCAAACCAGCGTTCCTTCCTAAATGCCCTGTTTGAGGATTTGAAACATTAAAATGTGACAAACATACAAGAAAAAAAAAATCAGGTAGGTGACAAATACGTTTTCACACTACTGTAGTTTTAAACACTACACAAAAATTACTCTACAATCTAAAACTAAAGACATTTTCTGTATATTAGTATTTTATTTTTGTCCTTATTATATTTTATTTATGATGTTTTACATAGTCTTAGATTAGCCTCTTGTTTTTGTGACAATTACTTATTATTTGACATGAAAACATTTTGTGGTTAAACATGGTGTTTTACTGCATTGATGAACAGTTGAGGGAGCTAAAAATATTTGGAGAAATGTGCCAAGCCAGTTAAGAAAAACTAATCATCTCTTGACCCTTAAGATTTATCTTGTAAACCTTTCAGACAGGAATGGCCTCTCACTTTAGTGTAAGTAGGCTTTCACTTCATCACGAGTTCTTCTGTCGTCTATCAGAGAAGCAGCCTTTTTACCACAGGCCTAATCAGTTAATGATAACTATGTCCATCCTCTGACGCTTATCTTTATCAAGGGTTTCAGAAACCTATAGCAGCTACCATTGGGCGAGAGGCCAATCTAAGGCAGATGATGACTACATCATCAACAAAATAAACTCCAGTTTACTTGTTGTGTAAAGCAACTCCAAAGATGACACAACAACTGTCATTTCAAATAATTTTTAAATCTTTCCTTCAAAAACTATGATAACTGAGATACTCTTTGCACAATTTCATCACACAATGTTGCTGGAAACCTATTTTTAACATTTCTTCAAATCAACATAAATTAACCCTTTAGAGCCGATCGATCAGAATTATCCAACTAATGATATTTGAGGAGGATCCATGGGAGTTTGCCCAACCAGTCTACATGTGTTTTGTGGACCTGGAGAAGGCATTCGACTATGTCCCTCAGAGTGTCCTGTGGGAGGTGCTTCGGAGTATGAGGTGTCTGGCTCATTGCTATGGGCCATTCAATCTTTATACTGTAGAACTGTTGCAAGAGCTTGGTGCACATAGCCAGGAATAAATCAGACTTGTTTCCGGTGGATGAGGGACTCCATGAGGGCTGCCCTTTGTCACCGATTCTGTTCGGAATTTTTATGGACAGAATTTCTAGTCGTAGCCAAGTGATGGAAGACTTTCACTTGGATGGTCTCAGCACCTCATCTCTGCTTTTCGCAGATGATGTGGTTCTGTTGGCTTCATTAAGTGATGGCCTCCAGCTCACACTGGAACAGTTTGCAGCTGACTGTGAAGTGGTGGGAATAAGAAGCAGCACCTCCAAATCTGAGGCCATGGTCCTCAGCTGGATAAGGGTGGAGTGCCCACTCCAGATCAGGGACAAGTTCTTGGCCCAAGTGGAGGAATTTAAGTATCTTGTTTGCGAGTGATAGGAGAGGGGAGCGGGAGACTGACAGACGGATTGGTGCTGCGGCTGCAGTGATGCAGAAGCTGTACCAATCCATCTTGGTGAAGAGAGAGCTGAGTGTATTGGTGTTAGTCTTTCTCCTCTGCTTCCTTAAAGAAAGAGAAACGGTCTTTTAAAAGATTAAATTCATTTCAGCACTTGAAGTTTCAGCATGCTAGACCTCAATGTGAATCAGAGGTCTGCTTCACAAAAATGATGAGCCTGTAAGCAGGTATTACAATTTTATACCACAACAAAAACAAGTGTTATTATGACTACTTCTTCTGGGAAACAACGTGTCCGGTTCTGCTGTCTCCCGAGTGGATCTTCTCCCCCACTGTATCCACATCTGACCTTGTCTGCATCTGCTCCTTTTCCTAGAAACAAAATAGAGAAAGAAAAACACCTCGCTCTCTAGCCTTGCTGTATTAATATTAGCTGGCAATTCACTGCCTATTGATTCTTATTATTATCTAAGTCCGGACATTCTGTTCAGACTCGCTTGGCCCAGAATTTTTGCATGTTTGCAAATCCCTCTACAGCTCATTATGTCAGTCTCAATAATTCAATTCAAGCTTAGCACTGAATTGATGCTTTTGACCCTGTAGAATATTTAGCTGATTTAGAGTTTAGAAATGTGTTATCATAGAATGTAGAACTATTGTAGAGACACTGACACTGCCCTTAAATAATAAAGGCTGACTCTGTCGTGAACTTAGGAGTAGATTGTACCCCTCCACCACTTGAGCTGTGAAAGTAAAACAGAGAAGAGTTAATGCTGAGTGGAAATTCCCCAGAGGATGTATGGGGGGGGGGGGGGGGGGGGGGGGGTCTCAACATTGTAACTGGATACCTGTGGTCTGGAAGTGAGAGGGGTTTTATGACTTCTAGGGAGTTACCTACACCCACAGTGTTTTAACTGTCACGCACAATCACTCATGTGCACACAGTCACACACGAGCACTCACATAGACACTAGGGAATGCGCACATGTAGGCATTCATGTGCTCGTGCACCAGAGGTGTGGACTCGAGTCACATGACTTGGACTCGAGTCAGACTCGAGTCATTAATTTTATGACTTTAGACTTGACTTGAAAAAATGTTCTAAGACTTGTGACTTGACTTGGACTTTTACACCAATGACTTGGGACTTGAATTGGACTTGAACCGGTTTACTTGAAAAGACTTGATATTTTACCCCAAATATAAAATTTAACATGCATATTATATAGAGATTGAAAATGTGACGTCATTCACGGGTAGAACCGCAAAGGATTCTGGGAACTCGTGGCAAGCGGTACTAGCGCACGCAGGCTTTCAATTAAAATCAGTCACACAGCGATAAAAAGAAACACAAAAATGTCAAGAAGCTGTTGTATTATTAACTGCAATAGCCGGTCGCATGACAGCCACGGGAAGCCGACGGGTAAAGAGATCGGTTGTTATCGGATTATGTCGTTGAAGAGAAATTGTTCGAGCCATGTTTCCGAAGTAACAAAGAGGCGACGGATGGCCTGGATTGCAGCCATTCAAAGATCAAATATAACGTCCCAGAACACTCCAGCTCATAGGTTAGTCTGCTCCAAGCATTTACACAAAGGTCAGTCTGCTGTTGTAGTTAATGCGTCATTTTCATAACATAATTGGTGATATAGGTTACAAGCAAGTCTGGGGCTGAACAGAAATGGTCGCGCTATGCTCCTTTGTTTATTGTGCATAAATAGTGAATTGTCCTGACACAATATTGCGTTTCGCTTCTGTTATTATGGTACATTGACAAAAACATATACTTTTATTCACAGGATAAAACAGGTTTTTTGTATCACTAATTGTCCAGTACGATTACAGCATACAGTATTATTGTCACTGCTACATTTCTGTGATGCTACCAGAAATTATTTCCACTACTAATTAATTACCGTTGAGCTCAAAGGTCCTATTAATAAACGGTTAAGGAATGTGTATTTATGAAGACGATTTGTGAGACTGGTAAACTTATGATACGTACGATGGTCTTTACTTTCTACACGGTGCATTTCAAGGTCCTGCACCCATCCGTCGGTAAACTGTACCTGGGCTTGTTGCAGTGACCTGAAGTTACTAAACTTCATGAGTGTGTGCACTCACTCCAAGAACCATCTAATTATAAATATGCATATAAATATGCTACGATGAGATAGCTGACTTCATCTAACTAGCAAATGTTTTCCAGGCTACGTTGGTGATGCAGTTTTTTTTTTAATGATATTTTAAAAAAAAAATATCATTTATTTATGTATGATATTTTTGTCATGCGATTTCAAAGCCGGTCCTACAACCGCATCCAAGAATAACATGCAGCTTATCTCAGAACTGTCGGTGAAAATTATTCTTGGAGCTAAGTTTAATTGAGCTGCATTTTAAAGAGGTGCAATTTCACAATTTGTGTATATTTTCTAAGTTCACTATTTTGTCATGTGTTGAGAAAAACAGAGATTTAAAAATCACATGGTCTAATATTTACATTTAGCATAACTGCAACATTCTTTTT